TTTTTTTAAAGAAACAAGATTAGAACCCATGTGTACACAGTACCCCGTGATGGACCTTCGAGTGTCCTTACAAGCAGTCCAGTATGACTGCATCACAATCAGCTAGACTTGTAACTCAAACCAAGAGAACCAGTCCCCTTTAAGTACTTCACAGCATGAATTGCAGCCTACCAGTGATTCGTAAAAGGATTTTTTACAAATTAACTTACTGCTGGACTGCATAGCTAATATCTGGTCTTGTCATGTTCAGGTACAACAATCTCCCACCTAGGATCCATCCCTTTCGGTAGCTACTCCAGAGTACTCTCCTCTCGCTGGGACCTTTGGACTTCCCTTCAAATCTCCCGTTGTTCCTCAGTAGCTCAGTTCACAGAGGGTCGAACCTTTTTAACGCTCCAATCCCAATCAACCTACTGTATTGTATTGATCAGCTTCCTTTATGGAATTTCCATAGAAGAAGAAAGTCTTAATCCTTGTGGGAGAGGTGTAGATGGTCCAGTGTTGTTCCCAAGACCCAAGTCTTTGACTATTTCAGTCACATACTTCTGTTGACAAAGCCTTATCCCAGAATCATCCCTAGAAATCTGCACTCCAAGAAAATACCTTGTAATTCCCAATATGGTGAACTCTTGGTCTAAATATTTGAGCTTGTTATGAGTACACCATTCACATACACCAAAATTGCTATGAAGACACCTTCTTTATTGCTAGTGAATAGACGACGATCCTGTGCAAACTGAAGCAATCCAAAATCTGTCACCTTCTTATTTAGTTCGGAATTCCACTGCCTACAGGCTTGCTTTAATCCATACAAGCCTTTCTTCAATCTGCAAACATGTTCTCATTCCCTTTATTATACGCTTGGGGCAATTTCATATAAACCTCCTTATTTAAATGTCCATGCAGTAAAAGCATTATTTACATCCAACTGCCACAAATTCCACTCGTTCATTGCAGCCACTCGTTCATCACACATATAACTGAAACCGGCCAAGTGAAAACACTTCAAAATAGTCCACCCTTTCCACTTGGTTATATCCTTTGGCCACTAGCCTTGCCTTCTATCTGTCCACCTCTCCATTAGGTTTTCTTCGATCTTGTAAAACCATTTAGATCCAACTGATTTCTTACCCGAAGGAAGAAAGCACACCTCCAAAGTTTGATTTTTATCTAGATCTTTCAGCTCTAAATCCATTGCTTCCACCCATCTTTTATCTCCTTTTGCCCTGTCATAACTCCAGGATTCTTTTCTTCAGCCACATTAGCAGAAAATTGTTCATCATTGCATAATGTAGTCTTTCGTACATGCTGGCTTGTTTCTAACCCTTTTTTTCTTTTGAGGTTGATAAAACTGAGCCATCTTTGGGATGATCATGTGAATCATTTTGCACTTCAATCACCTGATCCTTGCACAGGGGTAGTGGTGTTTCTCTCTCCATTGGCTTCTCTGAAAGCACTCCTTAGGCTTCTCATGTTTGAAAATTGTAGAAACCCACGGCTGGCCCATCCATTTCCATCCTCCTCTGAACTCCGGCCACCATCTCGCCGCCAAAATGGTCGGTGATGCATGTTTTTTCCTTTCTTTTCCTTCTCCCTTATGTCTGTTTTCCTGTTCTACCTTCTTTCTTTTTCTTCTTTCTTCATTTTTTTCTTTCTTCATTTTT